GAACCAACTTTTGGTTTTGTTGATTCTTTCTATTGTTTTTCTGTTCTCTATTTCATTTATTTCTGCTCTGATCTTTATTATTTCCCTTTTCTGTTCACTGTGGGATTTTTTGCTATTATCTTTCTGTTTGCTTGAGTTCTGTAGTTAATGTTTTTATTTTCTCCCCTTCTTTTTTGAGGTGTGCATATATTGCTATAAAATTTCCTCTGAGGACTGCCTTTGCTGTGTCTCAAAGGTTTTTGTATGATGTGTTTTCATTCTTGTTTGATTCTAGGAAATTTTTGATTCCAGGAATTTTTTTTATTCCATGTCTGATTTCTTCTACTACCCAGTGGTTTGTAAGCAGGGTGTTATTCAGTTTCCATGGAATTGATTTTTTTTTTAATTGCTCTTTCTGTTGTTAATTTCTACCTTGATGGCATTGTGGTCAGAGAAGACACTTTGTATTATCTTAACCTTTTGGATGTTGTTGAGGATTGCTCTGTGGCCTAAGATGTGGTCTATTCTGGAGAACGTTTATCTGTTTATCTGGAAATGTCCTAATTTCACCATCATATTTGAACAAGAGTTTTGCAGGATATATTATTCTTGACTGTCGATTTTTTTTTCTTTCAAGGTTTTATATATGTCATCCCATTGCCTTATTGTCTGCACGATTTCTGCCAAATAATCTGAGCTTAGTCTTATTGTTTCTCCACTGTATGTGACTTTTTTTTGTTTTTTTCTCAAGCTGCTCTCAGGATTCCTTGTCTTTTGTTTTGGTGAGAGTGATTATGATATGCCTTGGTGATTTTCTTTTGGAGTCTGTCGTATATGGGGTTTGTTGAGCTTCTTGGATTGGCCATCTTTTCATGTTTCATGACATTGGGGAAGTTTTCTGTTGGCAATTCTTCAATGATCCTCTCTGTGTTTTCTGTTTTCTCCCCTTGTTCTGGAACTCTGATCACTTGCAAATTTTTGCTTTTGATTGTATCCCACATAATTGTCAGGGTCTCTTAGTTTTTCTTAGTTCTTTTTTCTGATTTTTCCTCAGAGTTGTATCCAAATATTTGTCTTCAGTTTCACTGATCCTGTCTTCTACAGTCTGAAACCTGCTCCTCAGCCCTTCTCTGACCCTGTCCATTTCTGAAATCTTGTTGTTTATCTTTTGGATTTCTTTTTTTTTTTTACATAGATAATTTTTTTTTGTACCTTAGACAAAGGTTTGCAGAACAAATAGTTTCTCATTAAACAGTACACACATATTGCCCTATGACAATGCTTAACAACTCCACAACATGACAACACTGTCCCTTCTCAACCTTGGGTTCCCTATCACAAGCTTTCCTGTCCCCTCCTGATTTCTAGTCCTTGTCAATGGAGTGCTGTGCCCCATTAGTCCCATTTTTTTTTTATGAGGCTGTCCAATCCCCAGCTGAGCTGTGAACTTTGGGAGTGACTTCACCACTGAGCTAAAAGGGTGTCCGGGGGCCATACTCTCGGGGTTTCTTCAGTCTGTCAGTCCAGCAAATCTGGTCTTTTTTTGTAAGTTATAATTTTGTTCTCCATCCTTTTCCAGCTCTTTCCAGGACCTTCTATATGCCCGGTCCAGCGCCATCCTGACAATCATTGTTATGCTGGAGGCCATTGTTGCAGCCACTGCATCAATCCATCTCGTTGAGG